ATTGCCAGGCTCAACCATGATGACATAATGATCTTTCACCATCATCCTCGAACTCCATTTCTCGGTCTTCTCATTCTTTATCATCACACGAGTGGCGGTCTTCTTACCATCAAAATAGAGTGACGTCAAATTATCTAAACTAGCCATCTCAATTTCTTGCCTCTTAAATCGGTATTTTTGTCTCGCATCCCGCAGCTTATGTGGTCCAATAACCTGACTCTTGTCATCCTTTGTGATAATGCCATAGTCAGTTAAGGTGGCAGTAGCAATGGCAGCTCCAGCATAATCACTAATCAAGTATCGGTCACAAGCGGCAGCCAGTGTAGGGAGTCTTGTCCGGTTCTGTGAACTGGTGTCTGTCAGAGCCCTTGGATCAGGGACAAAATCAGCATCAGTATTGACTAGAGGAATATCTCTTGAATCATCTGAATTATCCTCAACATAAGGAATATCTCCAGCTACCAGATATCTATGTTTTTGCTCAAGCTGTCTCCTAACTCTGTCCGCATCATGCTTCTCTCTTGCCGTCACTCTGTCCCACATCTTCGTCACTTTCATGTCAACCCCTGCAATCTTCATCTTCCTATCACCTCGCTATCATACGCTAAGTAAACAACAGAACATATGGGATTAATTCCAATAGAAACTGGCCCATCCCCAAACTCCACCTTTTCCGACACAATACCTATGTTCTAGTAAAAATAACATCTTAATTTTATGATGGTACATGCACACAATTAATACTTAAGAGAAATAGAGAAATACAGTCGCCAAGTTAATGTCCATTCAAATAATGGACTCGACTCCCTCCCCCTCTTCTCGCACTACACTGCTGGCTCTTCCCTCTCTGAGAAATTTTTGGGGGAAAACCACTAAATTTTAATAAATAATACCTCAAACTAAAGTTAGGATAATACAATTGACATTGCTGGATTCCTTGTAAGACCAGGAATATTTTGAATACAAATGTCATATATTTTGCACAAAAAATAACATATTTACTCAGAATAAACATTATATCTAAAATTTGTATGTCTAATGCAAAATCTATGATGTTTATATTCAAAATGATCATCAAATTGTAAGAATTCCAGCAATGTAAATTATATTCTGGCCGGGTAATTTGTATGAATTTTATGAGCAAAAACAAATATCTTCAGTTAATAAAAAAAAAAATATTCTTCACAGCACTATCTGTCAATCAAAGTACCCTACCTTGCCTCCCCCCCTCTTCCAACCGCACGGTCAGTCCCAACCCTCCCCCCCCACCAATCCTCCCTTCAAGAGATGTTGGGTGAAAAACTAAATTTTAACATTTAGTATTAAATAATACCTCAGATTAAAGTTAGGATAATATAATTGACATTGCTGGATTCCTTGTAAGACCAGGAATATTTTGAATATAAATATCATATATTTTGCACAAAAAATAACATATTTACTCAGAGTAAACTTTATATCTAAAATTTGTATGTCTAATGCAAAATCTATGATGTTTATATTCAAAATGATCATCAAATTATAAGAATTCCAGCAATGTAAATTATATTCTGACCGGGTAATTTGTTTGAATTTTATGAGCTAAAACAAATATCTTCAGTTTATAAAAAAAAAAAAAAATTATTCTTCACAGGGTAACAGATGGTCGGTCGGTCCCTCCCTCCCCCCCACCCCCCACCAACCGTCCCAAGGAGATGTGTGGGAAAACCAGAATATTTACCTTTTTAGTATTAAATAATACCTCAAACTAAAGTTAGGATAATATAATTGACATTGCTGGATTCCTTGTAAGCCCAGGAATATTTTGAATACAAATGTCATATATTTTGCACAAAAAATAACATATTTACTCAGAATAAACTTTATATCTAAAATTTGTATGTCTAATGCAAAATCTATGATGTTTATATTCAAAATGATCATCAAATTGTAAGAATTCCAGCAATGTAAATTATATTCTGGCTGGGTAATTTGTATGAATTTTATGAGCTAAAACAGGCAGTCAGGCAGGGTGGCGGGTGGGGGGGTGGGGCGAATCTAAAAATAGCTCTCGAGCCGGACACTCACCGCGTATACTGGCGTATACTGGAAAAAACCCGCGTTAAGTGAAAGTTCAGCTCTGGCGAGGCACCGCGTATACGGTAAAACGCGCTAAGTGAAACCGCGTTAGGCGGGGTAATACTGTATGCAAATAAATCACTGTAGGTGCGCATGATCCAGGTATATGCTGATAACCACAAGGAAAAAGAAAACACGAAGTTCCCAAGCGCTTTCGTGTAATTCACATCTTCAGGGGTGAGTACAAACTAAAGTAGAAGTGCAGAACAAGTTATATATACAGAGGAGGGTGAGATCAAGTCCACAGAGGTCAAGTATAGGTAATGACCCTACTTATCTTCACAAAAGAACCGCAGTGGTTGGTAGTCAGGTCAGAGGGAAAACTGACCCAACCTTCTCACCTGGTTGCAAATCTTTTTAATTACAAAATTGCCCAATTTGTACATACCATTACTCAAATTCATGTTAATGGATTCGGTATGTTTAATGAGACTAGATTCTATAATGTTCCTACTGTCAATTGAATTACAAGGTAATATTGAGGAGACATTATCCCAGTCAATGCAATCCAATGCTCTGTTGTTTATTTGAGGGATAATAAACATTGCATTGCAATTACCTTATATATATAATATATATATATATATATATATATATATATATATATATATATATATATATATATATATATATATATATATATATATATATATATATATATATATATATATATATATATATTTGCTGATAACCACAAGGAAAGAAGAAAACACGTGTTTTCTTCTTTCCTTGTGGTTATCAGCATATACCTAGATCACGCGCACCTACAGTGATTTACGTGTGTGTGTGTGTAAATTATTTACCATCATCATTTGGTGTAACAGGATTTTTAGCTAGATTTTCCTGTCCTGTATATTGTACATTTAAACATACGTATCATTTAACAAGGGAAATTTGTAAGATATATTCCACAAGGGCCTATCTCATTTTATGATTTTATTAAGATTCAGTCAGCATAATTTTAATTTCAAATGGTGATCATAGTACTGTACAGTACTGAGAGTATACTAGAATTGAGAAGTAATTGAGAGACTTTGTATGTAATACTGCATCGAGTACTACTGTACCTAATGAAGTCTTTCTGAATTCATTAATAAGTATACTGTATCTTGTGATGTGTACAGTGTCAATAAATAGTACCCAAATTTAGTCACAGATTATAATGCTGCCAATATATATGGAAAACTGCACATTCACCATTTTTGAGATTTGTAACCAATTCATCATACAAGCTTAACTTTTGTCTATGGTAGCAACTGTTATTGTTACTATAAGTGAATTGATTGTTGGTTGCCGAGTGACTTGACATCATGTAACATCGGTAAATTTATGGCTGTAGAATCTTTCTGGTGGAAACCTAATTTGTAGGAAAACTATTTATAGGAGAAATTCAAAAGAAGATAAATAACAGTATGATCACTTTAACACCCCCCCTCTTCCCTCTGCCAAAATAAAGCACATGGGTCATTTCATGTCCAAGTATCAGTTAACTAACTCAAAAAGTGTCTGAGATATTACCTGGACAAACAAGCAACAGAGAAAAAACAAACAGGCAGACAGAGCAATCATCGAGTACCCCTTTCATGTGTGCTTCACAGGCACTTGAAGATGGATTGGGGGAGGGGTTGGGGTGTATAAAAAATGCCACAAATTTTCTTATGTAATGTTGCAATTCAGAAAATATTGAGTACAGTGACCCCTCCGTTAACGAACTCAATCCGTTCCAGAAGGTCGTTCGTTAACCGAAAAGTTCGTTAACCGAAACCATTGTTTCAATGGGTAATTGGTTCCAGCTCACCGAAAATTTCCTAAATTCAACAAAAATGGTAGAAAAGTTCACTTACTTTGAGGTGTGTATGTAGAAGGCTCCTGGATGATGATGATGATGATGGGATTTAGAATGGGGGTGGAGGAGAAGGAAAAAGAGAAGGCATTGGAGTGGAAGAGAAGTCACCCCATGGCGCCATTTCACCCATAAAATTTTAGCTCTCTTGGTGTAATTCAAGATTTTTTTTTTTAAATCAACACTGCACTGCATTATATATTGTCAATATGTAAAATATATTTCAAAATGACCAATAATTTGCTTGGAAACACAGAAAAAAAGCGTTTAGTTGAAGAGAGTCTCAAGCAAGATGTTACCTCCAGTGAAAACAGAGAGAGACTAACTCCTGTTTGCTGTGTTAAGAGGCTGGATGCCGCGCATTAAACTAGTCACTTTACCTTCAATTATGTTCAATAATTGTTAAAATGACTAAAAATTGAATATTAAACTTTTAAAATTATTGAATAGTATAAACTTCTTGATATTTACTAAAATAGTAAGGAATTTAAGCCCTAGAACCGATTAATGTATTGGCGGACTGATACTAAAGCTGGTTGCCCGGTCAGTGCAAGCGAAAACATGTTGAGGTCGGTTCGTAAGAACTTCGTTAACCGAATTTTTTTTCGTTAAACGAATTGAAGATCCTTATGGTAGGCAGTTCGTTAATCGAAATTACGTTAACGGAGGTGTTCGTTAAACGAGGGGTCACTGTATATGTATGAGCACATGTATACTTCATGAGATTCTTGTTGCTAAAGCCCTGCAGGAAGCACTACACAGCTTATGTTAGCATGTCTGGGAATAATTTTAATGAACCACAATGTATTTTAGTTGCAATATTTTATTATAAGTGTTATTACTGTGAACGATTTATCCTTTCTATTAATGTGTGCAGATTATTGTGTATATGTTTTATGTAATTTAATACCTGTATTGTATCATCTTATAAATAGTAATCAAATTTTACTCAGTAAAATATAGTGAAATGTTCCAAGAATTTATTATTATTTTTTCTATGTACTGTACATAATTTTTGAATTATCCATTTCCTTGGCAGCATCTTCAAAGGTTGCTCTGGCACTAGTGAAGGGATGCGCTGTGACTCTGTGAATAGCCTGGGTAGTCATGAGCCAGGTTGTCCGTCAGCTCAGGGATCACAAGGTTCAAGACACTTGTTAGATGACTCGGAGTTAGACCCACCACCACCTCCCCACCACGACTGTACGTCTCCACCTTCACACACACTCACACGCACATGGTACGTCAGGTGGGGTTCAGCCACTCCTGAAGTAGTAGTTGTGGTTTGGGGACAATGTGAATACAGTATTAGGTTCATTATAGGGTAAAATTAGATGAATTGTTCATAGGTAATGGTATTTATTGATAAAAAGTATTGTGAAGCAATGCCAAGGCTAAGGACTTGCTTTGTATACAGTACTGTGTATGCAATTGGAAGATTTCTCCTATTGATATGTTTTGATATTTTTTACTTGTTGTTTCTGCTTTCCCAGTTAGTTTCTGCATACCTTGCACTTCTCTATTACATTAAAATCCCAGATTCAACTAACCGGCACCAAAATGAAATAATATTAAAAATTCATCCACAATCAGCGAGAATCACAAGTTTGAATACTGCATGCTACAGGGATGAGCTGCCATATTTATTGCTATGATAAACAATGAAATCAATATATAGCATATAGTAAAATACAATAGCACTTATTTTATGTACAAAGAGTGTTTCCTTCTACACTCAAACCATCCTCTGGGCGATGCAACACAGTTCAGGCAGTCAACCAGCTGATTCACAGACATGTTGTTGTTGTGCTGACCATTCATATGCTGTGACGCAGCTATAGCCCAGTAACCCGTCGCCTCAACACACATTCACTAACCACATACAGGTTGGGGCCTTAAGGAAAGAATAAGTTTTAAAGAAGTGTTTTTTCTGATATATGGATTTATGAGGTCATCCTGTAGCACTGTACATTTTAGGATTTATTGGGGGATCCAACCAGAAAAAACTCTTTATCCGACACCTCTCAATCCCTGAAGGTGCTGAATAATTGGGATTGATACTGTTTTACTGTCCATTTATTGAGGATTGTGTACCTATTGATCTACTCCACGCAAGAGTGGTAGAAGATTGAAGATGATGGATAAATAAATATAAATTTAACAGTAGTTCACATTAACTTCACCGATGATTTGACTTAACTTCAACAAAAGTAAATAAAGAAATTATAATGACAAAAATGGGTAAAAAAGAAAAAGGAATAGGACAAAAAGCAGGAGAAACACATTTGCTGAAGTCCATCATGAGGCTCTAGTGTTGTGTTACTGCACACTTAGGTGTAATCCTGCTGAAGATGTGGATCATGAAATAAATATATCTTTTTCACAATGAGATTGCACACAGAAAAAGGAAACGCGCAGAGTATTGTGGTCCCTCGGTTAACGAACGGTTCGATTAACAAAATTTTGGTTAACGAATTAGCTTCCATAAGGATTTTCAGTTCGATTAACAAAATACTTACGACAAACACGTTTTGTTGTGCGCATCAGCTGATCGACTAATCCGCCAATACAGTAATTGGTTCTATGTTTACATTCGTTTCCAGTGGAGTAAATATCAAGAAAGTTGGTCTCTTGAATATTTCTGCATTTTTTGTATTAAATTATTTGTCATTCTGAAATTTAGTTAACATATTGATAATATAGACAGTACAGGGAACAGTTTTTGTGCGCCCATCAGCTGATTGAATCACCCAACAACGCTTCTCAGTTTAACTTTGTTTACTGAACATCGATTTTGTTGGTCTCTTGAATATTTTTGCATTTTTGCATTAACATTATTGGTCATTCTGAAATTTAGTTAACATATTGATAATATACTAGTGCAGAAATTATTGTGAAACACGAAGAAGGCATTAGAACCAATGCACTCCATAAAGAATATGTCATGTCATCATCGACTGCCTCTACAATCAGCTGTTTGATATGTAAACAAAGCTGCCGGAAATACGACATACACACCTCAAAGTAAGTTTAAATACAGTAATCTATTGTTTTTTATTTATTATTGTACAGTATACAGTACAGTACTGTATTTAGTATCCAGTATATTCAATGTTTTGTTAATTCTATTACTGGTATACAGTACTTTGTATGTACTTTTTTTGTAAGTTGGAACCAATTACCCAATATCCCATTGAAATAATAGATTCGATTAACGAATGACTCTGTGGAAAGAATTTTGTTCGTTAACCAAGGGACCACTGTAGTGTATAATATGTGGCGGGAACAGATGTTTGCTTGGGCTGACTGGAAATACGGCGTGCACTCAATACGGAGTTATGATTGGCTGGAAGCATGTTCTGATTGCCTGAAGAAATAATGTAATACACTCACTATTGAAATACCCAGAGTAAAGTAACAAGGTATCATGAGGCCTGATAAAGTAAATACTGTAATGAAATAAAAGTACCAATAGTTATCTGAAATGTTACTCAAGTAAAAGTTCCAGAAGAAAAGCTACTTTCAAGTAACTTATTAAAAGAAAGAACATATGAGCTCGGTAACAAAGTACAATGACTTTATTTTGTTACCAACTGCCTCTGGTTTTATGTACAGAATATAGTAATTTTGCTTATGGGCCTTGGTTTCTATCCAACAGTTATAAGCACCTAATAGTTTGAAAAGTTGTTTAATTTGGTGTTGGTGTGTGAACTAGTTATGCTGTACTCGGTGTACTGTGAACAAATTTTCATTAGAAGTACTATTGTGATAATAGGAGAAGATGTCATAGAAAATTTCATTCAGAAACAAATGTTCTTAAAGACATACACTCAGGCCATCATATGTGGACATTAAGTAGAAAAAGTGGCTATTGACATATACGGTAAAGTGTTTCAAAAGAGGCATGTGGTCTGTCTGTGTGTTAAGTTCGTTGATTATGTCTAAATATTATACAGGTATTTTTCTCTTAATATCTTTGTTGTATCAAGAGAAAGTCACTTTGTGTAACAGGATCTATGAAGCTCTTCTTCCGCCAACACCATCCACTTTGTTCTCCATCCATTTCTATCTTGGATGTCCAGTGAGCCATCTTCCTTCTAATGCCTGTCTTGGCTTGAACAGGTTAGCTGTTCACTCTATATATCCAACCCACTTTATGGTTGTTAATATTACATGGTGTAGTAATTTTTTTACTGCAGTAAGAATGATTGAAGGGAGAGTTTGTGTGTATGTACGAGTATGTGTGCATGTTTGCTTTTGGTTTCAGCCACCCTATGTTATATTGGGGATCTTTAAACAGTGGAAATAATGTGTGAATGTATGATTATGTCTTATGTATGTACAGGAGTATACTTGTATTACTGTATGTGCAAGTTTATACATGTCCGTTACAAAATAAAAGATATTATCTTTGAAAGTATGTTGTGATAAGGTGGCCTGGAGGTTCTTCTGTCATGGCCACCCCCTCAAAGGGAAGGAAGGTGTTGTAGACATTATTTTTTACATAAATCTTGTCATACTGTAATCAATGTCTCATTATTTATACTATGTTTTTGTAGGTCAGGTCTGTCATCAGACTCGGATACAGAGGTTGTGTTTGAGGTCAGCGGCGAGGAGTGTGGAGTGCAAGGACCATTAAGACGTAAAACTGTCATCAAAGATGGCCGTCGGCCTGCAGTAGCAGCGTGGCATAGATACTGGGTAAGAACAGTTTATGATCAGGAAATTCTTTCCATGTAGAATAACATTAAATATTGCATCTAATCTTTTCTTTACCATAAACCTAAATCGTGGTACAGGTTGTACCTCTCTAGTCCGGCATTCTGTGGTCCGGAAACTCCTGTGGTCCGGAACGATTTTAGTTTGTCCAATAGGTAGATAGGCAGCTTCTTTTTTTTTTTTAATCTTGATTATTATTATTATTATTATTATTATTATTACAGGAGTATTAAATTTTTGCCCCTCAGGCCCCAATGTGGGTCAGTGACCTATGCCCGGGTGGGCTAATCCCCGTAAAAAAACAACAACGACAAGCAGCGAGAAATTAAGGTTTGTTTACATCCGGCTGTTAGGCCTCTCTCTCTCTCTCTCTCTCTCTCTCTCTCTCTCTCTCTCTCTCTCTCTCTCTCTCTCTCTCTCTCTCTCTCTCTCTCTCTCTCTCTCTCTCTCTCTCTCTCTCTCTCTCTCTCTCTCTCTCTCTCTCTCTCTCTCTCTCTCTCTCTCTCTCTCTCTCTCTCTCTCCTCTCTCTCTCTCTCTCTCTCTCTCTCTCTCTCTCTCTCTCTCTCTCTCTCTCTCTCTCTCTCTCTCTCTCTCTCTCTCTCTCTCTCTCTCTCTCTCTCTCTCTCTCTCTCTCTCTCTCTCTCTCTCTCTCTCTCTCTCTCTCTCTCTCTCTCTCTCTCTCTCTCTCTCTCTCTCTCTCTCTCTCTCTCTCTCTCTCTCTCTCTCTCTCTCTCTCTCTCTCTCTCTCTCTCTCTCTCTCTCTCTCTCTCTCTCTCTCTCTCTCTCTCTCTCTCTCTCTCTCTCTCTCTCTCTCTCTCTCTCTCTCTCTCTCTCTCTCTCTCTCTCTCTCTCTCTCTCTCTCTCTCTCTCTCTCTCTCTCTCTCTCTCTCTCTCTCTCTCTCTCTCTCTCTCTCTCTCTCTCTCTCTCTCTCTCTCTCTCTCTCTCTCTCTCTCTCTCTCTCTCTCTCTCTCTCTCTCTCTCTCTCTCTCTCTCTCTCTCTCTCTCTCTCTCTCTCTCTCTCTCTCTCTCTCTCCTCTCTCTCTCTCTCTCTCTCTCTCTCTCTCTCTCTCTCTCTCTCTCTCTCTCTCTCTCTCTCTCTCTCTCTCTCTCTCCAGGTACAACATTTAACCCTTCATATATATATATATATATATATATATATATATATGTATGAGCAGTAAATAAGTGTTGCTTTCATATTCTTATGTGAGATAATGGTGATATGTTTTCACATGTGCTTACATACTTGGCGCCAGTCTCACTTTTACCATTAATGGTTAGCTACTTATATTGTTCCATTTATTAACATTAAATATCGTTACAGGTACTTCAAACAACCATATTAATTTTCTTACATTAATTTTACTACAGCTACAATCAGGGTCTTATTTTCTTCAGTTTTATATGTAGAGACCAATCAGTCACTGGTTTTTGTAAGCTTTAACATAAACAATGCGGCAGCGTCTCGGTCTCCTCGTGTGTTTTAATATTCCGCGTATTATTAATAAATTGTATTGTTAATTTACACACAAACATTAATTGAATAAAAACAAATTCAGAAACATTTAAAATATATATGAACAGTAAATAAGTGTTGCTTTCATATTCTTATGTAAAATAATGACGATATGTTTTCACGTGTTAGCATGCTTTTACATATGCGATCTCTCTTTTTCTTTACCATTATCGTTAGCTACTTCTATTGTTCCATTTATTAACATTAAATAACATTACTTAAAACAACCATATTAGTTTTACTACAGCTACAACCAAGGTCTTATTTTCTTCAGTTTTATATGTAGAACCAGTCAGTTACTGGTTTTGTAATCAACGAAAACAATGCTGTGTCATTTCTCTGTGTTTTAATATTCTACGTATTATTAATGAATTGTATTGCTCATTTTGCACACATAAACATTAATTCATTAAAAGAACATTCAGTAATAAAAATAATGAATCTTTTGTACATAAGAGAATGGCGCTGTTTACGATTATGCCGTCGTCTGCACGCGTTGGCGGCGTTCAAAAGTGAAATTCAAGTTTCCCCATCAAAATTTTACTTATTTATTTTTTTGTATTCCAATAAAATCGTTGAATTAATAACTTTCGCGAGAAATTTGAGAAGCTACTATACGACATTTAACCCTTCAATATATCTTCAAAGAGACCATGATGCAGAGAAAGTGGTGCTAGTGCTTCCAAGCATACCGGTAAGCACAAGTCACTATCATTCCAGGAAAAGGGTGAATTTCCATGGTCCGGCACCGGTCAGGTCCTGAGGTTGCCGGACTAGAGAGGTACAACCTGTATTAGCCCCATTGTTGGGTGTGGAGCTCATCTACTGCACCATTGGTTTACACTTGTTAAGGATTTATAATTTTGAGTTTGTCTGATTAACTGGGGTTGAATAATACATATTATGTATTAAACCATTTTAAGACTTAATTGATTTTGTAATTACTGTTTGTGAAAAAATGATGACTACTAACTAAACAAGCCTCTGGTTTGGGCAGATAAGAAGACTGAAGATACTTAGATTATTCCTGAACCCTAGCTAGATGTGTGGTCAGGTTTATATACCACAAAGAGGATGTTTTGTTTAATGGTTAAATGTTTTTGCCAGTTTTCCAAAGTAAATATTTTTTTGAAGTTGTAATTGGATATTCAAAATATTTACAGGCAACAATTTCAACTGTTGGTGTAGATATACTAGGACCTGTGGCACTGAAAACAAATAGCAACTGGAAGGATCCCTACTATAATGTGAACATATTATGAAGCCTTCTCATGTTCCTTGGGGGAGGGGCTTTTTTTTTTTACTTTTTCATACCTTTATACTGAATACCATTTCTAAATTCTTTCTAATCAAAATTCTTAAATTAGATCTAAAATTTGTATGTCTAATGCAAATTTTGTGATGTTTATATTTAAAATAATCACAATCTTATAAGAATTCCAGCAATGTAAATTATATTCTGGCCGGGTAATTTGTATGAATTTTATGAGCTAAAAGACATATATTCAGTAAATACAGTAAACAAATTATACTTCACCCGCGAAAATTACCAAATTTACCGCGTAATTAAAGCATTTCGATTCTGGCAAGGCACTGCGTAAATGACCAAACGCTTCAACCAAAACCTCATAAATCCAGACTCCACTGTGTAAATATATATATATATATATATATATATATATATATATATATATATATATATATATATATATATATATATATATATATATATATATATATATATATATATATATATATATATATATATATTTATATATATATATATATATATATATAATAGTACAGATTTATATATATATATATATTGTATATATATATATATATATATATATATATATATATATATATATATATATATATATATATATATATATATATATATATATATATATACCATTACAGTCAGTTATGCTATAATCTTGAGTTGTGTTCATGCAAAACCTAGACTTTCTAGAAATTAAGCATAATAGAAATAACAGGGCTTATGGAGAAAATGTGGTTAGGTGCAGATTACTTGAAATCGGTAAAAATTTAGGAGTTAACATAACACAAAGGATAGCACAGTCTAAATAAATGTTACATTCATATCTAATAATGAAATCATACAGTAAATGTTACACTTTACCTTGAAAAAATATGAAAATAACTTGATGGGGGAGAAGGTTGAGGTTGAGGAGTCATGCAGACAGGATTTGACAGTTGTCATCATCAGTATCAGAAACTTGCTGCTTCACCACATAACTTTACATTATGAAATGCATAGCAGTTCTTAAAACCAGAAAACCATCCACTACTAGCACTAAAGGCAACCACATCATCAGGATTTTCAGCTTTTTTCTTTAGGTCCTCGTATATTGGTAAAGCTTTCTCTTTAATGGTGAGAAGCTGGTCCCAGATCGCTTTTCGTTTGATCTTCTATCCAAACACTTAGAAGCCATTCCATCTCCTCAAGTTCCTTTGGCTGTGATCTCACACTTTTGCTAGCACTCAAGGTTTTTCCAGCAATACAGCTTGTTTTAATCTTTTTGCATTGTCTCTAATGGTCTTGGAAAGTAGACTCCTTTATTCCGTTGCTGCGCACAATCACATGTTCTTTCCTTATTTTCAAAACGCTTGACAACAACAAGCTTTTCATCAAGTGTTATACCCTTTCTTTTACGATCACCACGGAAATGCAATCACCAAACGCTTCGGGAATTTTCTTCTTTTCATAGTCACAAAATTGGAGAAACAGTAAGCAAATATCACTAGGGCGGCAAAACTTCCCATGTGTTTCAAACTGAACGTGTGTGATGTAAACAGAAGCGGGTGTAAGCGCTCATTATTTTGTTTTTCTCTCTTATTTAAAAATTTTACAATTTACATATACTGTACAGGTATACTGTATACATAAATATTACATAAATTATTTCTGCAATTCTTCACAAACAGAACACATAATCAATTGGACATGTGATGTCGGCGTGAACTGTAAACACTGCATAAC